GTTGCACAGCAAGAATAGAAATTCCTGCTGCCTGAAATAAGAGAGGATGTGGACTGAAAAGCAGGGGATACTCCTATTTGATTATAGTGTGAAAAGACAAATGGCTGGGACTTGTTCTTCATAGAAAAAATGGATACGTCATTAGGAAAAATTGTTGGGGAAGATTTCAAGCTCTAATTAATTATACTTTTCCAACAGAACCCCCGAGAGATCTGAAATTTAAGGAAATTGCAGATTTTGGTAGATTTGGTTCCTCAGTTCTAGCCGTGTCCCAGCGTCCCCCAGAGCAGCTGGTGGAGGAAGGTGCCCGTAGAGACTCGTGGCAGTTTTAGAGTAGAGCTGTGCTCACTGAGAGGTCGGGAGTGCTGAGAAGCAGAGGAGGAGTCACTGCAATTAGGGAGGACGCAAACGAGCTGTGATTAATCATTGCTTTGACATTCATTGGGTTGTTGTTTGGTTTTTTGTTGATTGCGTTTTTTTTAATTGGGATGGCATTGTAGTAATTTGTCCCTCACTTGCCCTTTTCAAAGTGCTTTCAGAAAATTACTTCAGCAATCTTCAAGTTGACCTATGCAATATTATTATTATTATCCTCATTTAGGTTGAGACTTTAGTCTGGGACTAAATGATTTGCCTGAGGCTGAAGGATTTATTTTTACCTTTTTGGTACCCGAACCTGTCTTCAGATTTATTACAGAAGATCTTTTACATCTTCTTTCAGAGCTGTGTATTGCAGAAACAGATGCATAACCTTTATAAAGAGATTTCTCTTTTAAACAGCATTGTAACATACCTGTATTTAAATAATGCAGGAAAGGATTTGAGAAAGTATTCTTCTCATCCTACTCCCCCTGAAATGTGGAAAAAAATTGATAACAATTATATGATCCTAATTATGCCTTTTGGTCACTATCCTAGTAGTTCCTGGCACATGTGGAATTATTATCCTCCAAAAATATCATAAACAGGCAGAAATTAAGATACTAAAAAAAACACAACACCTTAGTTAAGTGAACTGCCTTTTGATTCTTATCTGACATAAACAAAATGTTAACTTTGTGCCCTTTGAGACAAGATTGATTTTTTTAAGGGAACTTCAACAACTCCTCTGTGTTGGCAATGTACACCTCAGAGGTTCTCTTGCATTTTCCCTATGCTCCTCTGCTCCAAACCAAGTAATTGACAATGGGGAGATCTGGAGAAGATTGCATTTTATTTATTTTATTTTTTATTTTTTTTAATGAGACAGGGATTTTGCACCAGGGCCAGTGTTTTCTGGGTGCTCTGGGGAGGAGGAAGGGGAGAGATGGCATCAGGAACCCGAATGAGATACGACATGGTTGTGGCTGTGAGCAAAGCACAGAGGGGAAGCAGAATATCCTCTGCTTCACAGGCTGGTAGCACTTGGACTGAAATACATCTGGTCATCCTGAAAATACTGTATTGCTCCTGGATGTGCTGAAGTTGTTTCTTTCAAAAAGGAAGGAGAGTGAGCCCGGTGCAGGTAGGTGCCAACAGGACTTGTTCCTGATGGGTCCTGTGCTCCCTTCTGCTTCTAACCCAGCCCCACACACAAATAATGAGTAGCTGCAAAACTGAATTGTGCCACCTGAAAACTCCTTGAAGTAGTAAAATTGGCACTTGTCTTAGAGTTCTGAAAAGCATTGGGCCACGCCTGACTGCCTGGTTTGGAGAGCTTGGTTCTGGATATTTCTCTCTTGGACATCAAAGCCAACTTTTATCTCTCTTGTCATGCCCAACTTGTCAGTGCCCAACTACGACAAGCTCTCACGGCAGTCTGTGAAATTATAACTTCTCTGCTTTTTGCATCACTTTGTATAACTGTGTGAATATTTGTCTCTTTCTCATTTATGGTGTGACTAAGCACACATGAGCTATGTGTGGCGACTTCAGCTTTCAGTTGTTTCTACTGACACCAAAGATGATTGATGGTACAACTCTAAACCTCATATGTTAGCCACCAACCTGAATAAACAAAGACCAGTGTGGCAGCTTAATATTAAAAGCTATAAAACCTTCCTGGGGGTTCATGGATTAAATCAACTCAACAGAATGAATTTTCAAAAAAAAAACTTTCTCAGGATTGAAGAAAAATGAACTCAACAGTAAATGAAATAGGGCTATCCTCATCCAGCAGACTAAAGCCCTCCTGAGGGCTGAAGAATTGCAATTTTAAACATCTCTCAAGAGTGCAAGAGGAGACACAGTATTTGTGGATCCTAAGGAGGCAGCTTGAGGCTATAAAAGAACAAAAAAGCCTTTAAGGTACAAAAAAAAAAAATTCAAAAAAATCCCTGCAGACATAGCTTTCATTGGTCAAAAATAAGTGTTAAAAAATAAAAACCTTCCCCCATTAAAATTAGTATATGAGCCCCACTGTGTGTTATTTGCCAGTTGTAAGAAGTGATTCAGATTTTTGCCATGCACTATTTTAATCTCTTGGGTCAATAAACCTTGATAGTAACTTCAGCCAAAAATATCAGCATGTTGTTTATCATAATAGGACAGGAAACAGCTGGGGTCTTATTTTCATCTTATTGTGATGCAATTATAAGTGAGCACAGTTGAAAGTAACTTACTTTGTCTTAGCAAACAAACAAATTGCAGTTGTATCCCAAAGAACAGTTTTCACTGCAAAAATGTGCGTCTTCTCTCTGAAACAGAGTAATATTTCAGCTACCAGGGCTTGTTTCTCCTTTTCTTTCTCCGTTTTCAGCTAGCCCAGTAATATTGCTGGGCTATAGAGCCATACTTTAAAGCACAGAACATATTTCTTACTGATTTACCAAGAAACACCTTTGTCAAAAGGGAGCAATCCCTTTGCTGCTTTGCTGAGTCAGTAGCAAACATGAACACCTTGTGAAAGCGGGTATTTGGAGGGCACTTAATAGATTCATCTGGTCAGGCAGTGACCGGTTGAAAGAAGACTGTTGCACAATTAGAACATTATTATTGCACAGAGCTGTATTAAGATTTCTGTTCCATCTACTTGCAATGAAACTTGCTTGACTTTCCTCTGGGAAGAATTATTCTAAGGAGCTCCTGCCGTGTGCTGGGCACCCGCGGGCGCCTGTCGGGGACCCGGGTGGGTCATGGGGTGGTGAGGGACGTCGGACCCTGGGCTCCAGTGCCTGAAAGCACGGAGCTGGAGTGAGAGTCAGGCCCCGTCAGGGTCACCCCAACATACTGGGAGGTGATGGATCATCCAGATCCTCTTAATCGTGAAATAGATCTTTATTATTCAAAATTTAGGAAGTAAAAGCCTTTTGCTGTGCCAGCTGCCCGTTCCTGCTCCTGTCACACCAAGAACAAATTTCAGACATTGAATTAACTGAAATATGTGTTCCTGATCTATCAAGGTCCCCACCCAAATGAGCTGTTGGCTCAGAAAACATTTGTCCTGGCAGAGCACTTATGCATAGCATTGTGAGCCTCTATAGAAGGAGTAGCATGAATTTCTTGGAGTAACTTTCAAAACCATACGTTTGGATCCTGGGTTATATACTGGCAGAGTTCAAACAAGGATTCCTGTCTCACCATTTTTTTTCCTTTAGATTTGCATAGTGGCATCACTTATTGCAGCTCACAAGGAAAGCCTCTAATTGCCTATTTGCATAGAGATTTGGAGATTTCTTCTGCATGCTGGAATGACTCATAGACAGAATTTTCCTAAAGTTTCATCAGATTGTTTTATTCCTTTTGTATTGATAATTGGAGTGTGCATAATGCAGATTTTGGCATGACCTGCTTTTTGTGACGGATGGTGGTTGGCACATCTTGCAGTGAACTTTGTGTTGGGTTCCCACGTGTTGGAGCGTGTGTCCTCGCTCCGGGAGCCGGGAGGTGCCACTCGTGGCTCCTGCGGGTGTGAGACAGAGGTTCTGATTTGTGGTCGCAATGGCAGATTTAAGGACTTTGGTGCTAAAACAAAATTAGCGCAAAATGGCATCGGCATGGAAATCATTGGAAAAAAGATTCAATTTGAAAGTTTAAATATATTTTATAAGTAAATCTGATATTGATTCCCTTTTATCCTTTATTTACATATTCAGCTGCTAATCCAGAAAAACACCTAAGTACTTGCTTAATTTGAATTAAGCGGTTAATCCTATTGGAAGTTAAGCGCAGATGGGAGGCCCTGATTCAGCCAAGTCCTGGGGTGTGAGCAGCCCGGTGCTGGGGGACGGAGCCCACCCAGGGTCCCCCCACTTTCCCCGGGCCAAGGTTCGGCAAATACAGCCTCACCGCAGAGATACAGAGCACAATCCTTCCAGCTGATCTGTCTTCATTTAACTCACTTTGTAACTGTCCTGTTCACTCAGCATCCGTTGAATACAGTTATGGACTGAAATGTCCTCCTTTAGAAGGAATCATTTTGGTGTGAACATCTGATCATAATGTCTAAGATATTTGACCCTATTTGTTGAAAGTCCCGTAGCATCAATGAAGTTGAGGAAGACACAAAGCGCAATGAAAAATAGTTGTGCAATATTAAAAAAGGGCCTCAAAAGCACCTAGAAGTTGAGAAATTTCATAAAAAAATCTCAGGAAACAGTAATTCCCCTTGTCTAAGGGAGTGAGGGGCAAATATCCCTTCACTGACCTCGTTCTCATCCCACCGAAGGCAAAAAGAAAACTTCTGATGATCAATTTGCAAAGTGTATGTCTCTAGTGAGGTAGATTTAGGAATTGCTGCTTCAGACCATGTCCCAACAAATGCCGCGCTGTTTCCTTTTCATGATTTTTTTCCTCCTCTCCATATATTCTTTGTTCTCATGTTTTCTTTCTCCTTTCTTCCTCTTTTTTACCTCTTGCTCTTTATAGGTCCCTGATGATCTTTCTTCTCTCTCCTTCCCTTTCCCTTGATATCCCAATTCTGACTTTATTTGGACTCCAGTTTGGACAAAAGAAGCAAACTAGTTACTCTCCAGCTTCCAGGAGCAGCCATCTATATATAAATCTCTTTTTGTCCGTTACAGATGACCCATATACGACAAGAATATGAAACCACGTTCAAAGGTCTGATGCCAGCATCTGTGAGACAGGAACTTGAAGACACCATTGTATCTTTAAAATCTCAGGTAAATTCTTACTCATCTTCAGCTTTTTGGACTGGATAAAAACCACCTAGACAAGAAATTATGACCATCTAAAATTTGGCCAAAAATACTGAATAAGTCTCAAAACCAAATTATGCTGGACTCACATGCTTCTGACTCGGTCACCTTTCACAAGGCTTTTCTCCCTCAGTTTACTCAGCTTGAGAACAACCATATTGTGTCTTTTGATCCCAGGTGTTGCATGAGATGGCAATTGGAGGCAGAAATTATGCTGCTTTTAGTATTGGAGGTTTTTTTCTCAACCTTTCATATATAGCACAGTTATCTTTCATCTTCCTTACCCTGTTTCTCCCGAAGGAATCATTTAAAGGATGCATGTAGAGGGTGCAGAAGAGAATGAGAAATAATTTTGTTTTCTTTCAGCCTATATAATAAAGCAAATGGGGTAATTCTTTTAAGGTAGTCATCCGAATGATCATTGTGCTATTTCTACATTTTCCAATATAAAGAGGCTCTAATAGAATTCTGTAACTGCTTTGTTTTTAATATTGCCAAACACTAGCTCATCTAGAATAATACAGAATCAATATTACTTGTATGAAATCGACTATGAAAGTGGCTAATAGAAATAGCAACATGTCATTGTAAACAGGGAGTTAGTAATGAACTGAGTGTGTTTCTGTGCCTGGTTCCCACAGAAGCTCTCTGTTCTGTCCTATTCGGTATATTGGGAGCTGGGAGGAACCAGAATGTCACCATAGCCTGAGCTCACGTGAGGAAGGGTAAATAGCAATAAAAAGGAGTGATCGTAGATGTGGAATAATGGTAATCCAAAGCAAACGCTGTCAGTGCTGGCGTATGGCCCCGTGCAGGACTGTGCATTAATCGTGGTGGGAAGGGCTGGGGTCTGTCCTGGGCTGGAGGGAAGGAACCAGAGAAGGACGGGGCAACGCTGGTGCCTCGGAGCTGCCCCAGGGCTCTGGGGAGAGGCAGAGCCCCGAGGACACGGCACACACACACATGAGCTTGATACCAGCACGCTCCCTGAACCAGTTTCCAGGACCGTTTTTCCAGCAATTATAGATCTACAAACTCTCCGTTTTTCTTTCTTGTACAATCTCTCTCTGTGGAGATAGTTAGTAATTTAAGGTATTTGCTTTTTTTTTTTTTTCTTTCTTTTTCCTTCTTTACAATGCATAAGCATTTTTTGCTGCGCATGAGACACTTCCCCTGGCAAAGCAAAAGCCTTTAATAGAAGTAGGAAATTTTCATAGGGGAAACTTTCATGTTCCTATGTGCTAGTAGTAACATAATTTCAGTGCTGTGTTGTAAACACTCTGCTACATATCAAGGGCTACCTAATGGAAGGGATGCTCTTTCTCATTTAAATAGTTGTGGGAAATAAAGAGTTAAGGATCTACTGGGGAAATCTATTTCCAGTTCATAGTAAACGGCTATTTTTAAAGTGTGGTTGACTATTAGCACTGTCTGGGAGGAAGTGCTACTCCGCAGCTAATATAATACCACACCTTTTAATGAGTTTTAAAAAAAAAAAAAAAGTAGAATCTGATATCCACCTGCAGGGCTTCTGTCGGCAGCAGCAGCGTTTCAAAAGAGCAGAAGTTCCTAAACAGACCAAAACCTGGGTGCACTCCCAGAAACACAGAGCTGCTGGCTGAGTTTCCTGCGGTGGGCGCAGACCCCTGGGCAGCCGGGCTCTCTCTGAGCACAGGTGTCCTGCTCTTTGGAAATTGTTGAAATTCCTGTTTGAAAACATCAGACGAGAAGGGCAGTGGAATCTCTGCACCTGTCAGGATTATTTATTGTTGGAGGAGGATGAAGAGGATAGGCTAGGTAAAAACACCGAGCAGTGATAAAAATAAACAAACAAAAAATAAAGAAAATACTTGAGGCTTGGGCAAAGTTTTCTAGAAGCGTTGCTAAATATAAAGTACACTGCCAACTGTCTGCTCTTGGTGAGGCCTCCGAAAGCGGCCAGGGTGTATTAATAAACATTAATTTCATACATTTCAAGAACAGGTAAGTACCTTCATCCCAAGTGCAGGGATAAGAGCAGAGGCTTCGTGTGGGAGCTGAGAGCAGCACTGGGGCTCCCAGACCCTGCGTGACCCATCTGGTCCCACCAGCTCAGCTTGAAATCTGGTTGCCTCTGTCCCTAAAGGAGTAGGAGTGTGGGGCTGGAGCGGGGCCAGGGAAGCCACACTAATGATCTTCTATCAGGTATCAATTCCAGCACACAGCTAAAGCGTTACTGCATTTTATTTAGGCAGGATAGATGAGAAAAACACCCTTTATGAAGTGAGTGCAAGTTTATGAATTAGAATTTTGTACACCATTTTCACATGGGATGTATTTTACAGGTCAATATTCTGCAGAAAAGAGCCTCTGTCCTCCAGGAAGAGCTGAACACCTACCATGCCAGAAGGTGCGTGATTATCTTTGATCAATTTGTACCATTTCACACCTGTGGATCCCACTTACTGAAGTTTTATGGCTTAATTAAAACACTCAAATTTAGTTGCAGTTTTAAAAGATCCTTATTTTCAGTAAACAAGCGCCTGAGCATTTTCCCAGTGCTTAGTCAGTGCCATTAGAGCAGGATGAGAGAGCTCGCAGGTGCATTGCAAGCCCGGGCTTCGCCTGCGCGCCGGTGCCGGGGCCGTGGCTGGGAGCTGCCACCTCCTTTTGAGATAGAAAACAATGATGCAATGCGTAATGTTCCAGATCGCATCTTCAAAGCACCGGATCTTCAGGAGCCTGAGCTTTTTTTTTTTCCAGGCGTTTACACCCTCCAATATAAATTATGGCAAGTGCTGCAGCAATAAAAAGCCTTGCTGTGCCTTTAGAGTAAGTGATTCACACAGAGAGGTGAGTAAAGGGGAACTTCCTAGGAACGCCACTCCAGCTCTCCTGTATTTATGGACTTTGATGATATTTGCATATCTCACATCAGGATTTCTGCAAATAAGAACGTGTGCTTGTGAAAATAGTGTAAACATTTGTGAGGTAGTTAAACATCTGTAAAAATGTTGACAGTGTGAAAGTTGTCGGAAAGTGCTAATCCTAAACTTTTTGTTAACAAGAATTAGCTAAAGCTAATTGGGAACTGAAAATGTCATAGATTCTTGGTAATGTGTGCAGCGAGGGCACTGTTAGATCAATACAGAGCTGGAACAGGGTCTCTAGACTCTCCAACAGCAGCAGCAGCAGCATTGCCAAGGGATGCGTTTTGTCTCAACTGACTCTGCGGCAGTGTCGGCCTTCGTGAGGAACAGAGCTCTTTAAAGAGATGATTAATCACAGACAGACAGATCAGCCCGGGCCACGGGTGACCACAACGCTGGGAGAGGAAGGATCCCCAGCCGTGTCCTGCTGGAGAAGAGGGGCAGGGACGGAGCCAGCATGGGACACCCCTGCTCCTCTCACGGCCGGGCGTTTGCTCCTGGACGTGGAGAAGCTTTTGTGCTGCTGCTCTCCAGGGAAATTTTCCTCCTGAACATATCTTTTTTCCAAGACTACATTCTCACTACGTTTTGTATTAGCATTTACCTGACCCTCAGTCACTGAAATACTGATTTTTACGGCTTTAGGCCCCCGTGTGCCCGTGGCTGCAGGAGTGAGGTGGCTCCTGGGTGGCCCCACACAGGGCCGTACCCTCGCGCCGCCCACCCGAGCCAGCCCTGCTCCCCGACTGCTGGGTTTTTATAGTAACAATAGTGAGCTGTAACTAATGAGAATCTCTTCATTTTCAGGTAGCTGCTGGAGCCATTGGATTTCTTCGGTTGCCAAAGGGACTGCTTTGAATAGGTTTGAAGATTTGGCTCTTGTAAACTGAAATGCAGAGATGGGTGGCTGTGTGGTTAGCACATAAGGTGTGATGAGCTTCATGAGAACGCATCCATTGCTCGTGCCACCGGGGTTTTAGTTGTATCTTCCTCCCATTATTTTTTTTATCATTATCTTCTTACAGACTTATGCTTTCAGTATCTGTGTATTTGACTCCGTGCTGAGCTTGCTTACCAAGCAAGTAGAGTTTTCTCTACTAATATTTTTGTTATTACTTCCCAATACCATTCTTTTCATTTTTATACATGAAGAAAATCCCATTTTCTATTATTATTGTCCAAAATATTTTAACATATTTTGACCTCGTTTTGTGTTTACATAATATTAAAATATTATTTTTTACTATTTTTGTTTTGACATTATTGTCACGCTTGGGCATCTCACTCACCTTAGCAGCAGCAACAGGGCATATGAGAGTTTTGTTTGGCTTTGTTACCTGGGGAAATACGTCGTGCTGTGTTTCAAGGAGAAACCTCGTAGTGAGAATGGAAACACTGTGATGACAAATGCAGCCACCCTCGCCAGTTAATTGCATATACATCGATGACTGGGGCTGCATTCGCCGGTCACAGGGATGTCCTTTGTCATTTACTGATAGCACAGTTCTGGGGCATTACTGAAAAAGAGTCCTAACAGCTGCGGCCTTGGTTCCTCGTGAGGTGCTCAGGCTCTCCGGGGTCATCCTGGGCAATCCAGGCAGATTCCCGAGGGTTTGCAGGGTTTGGGATGTGGTGGAAAGCTGAAGGAACTGGATGGGGAGTCCTCCTGGCTCTGCCTCCCAGGGAAAGGAAGGTTTCCTTGTCGCTTGGCCATCCCTGAGCCAGGGTGTACTTTAGTACACTCATAATCTGTAAATTTAGATGTGCTGTACACAAGAATAGCTTTTTTTTTTTCTCTAGGCACCATCCTGCCAGCAGTGTTCATATCAAGGCACAGTTAATGTCTGAGTGCTTGAGAGGGGGCCAGAAATTCCTGTCTTCTCAGTCCAGCTGTGGCAGCGAGACCCTCCGTATCGCTGCTGACGGGGACGGCCACTTCTCCCCCTCGCCCCGCTGGCACCGCCGCTCCACGTGCCGCCTCCGGGCACGATTCCGAGGGTCCTGACCGCTTGAGTGCGGGCGGCTGGACACGGCTGGAGTCCCAGCTCTCCAGCTGCGCTCTTATCTCCTCCTGGCATGGAGATCAATGAGGAGAAGCTTTGGCAGGCTGGGCTCCATCCACCCCCACCTCCTGGCAGCGCCGGCAGCGAGCTCCTTGCCAAACCCAGGCTCCAGCTTTGCCGGGTGCTCTGCCGGTTGTCAGGCTGGGCTGGGCCTGGGGAGGTTCTCCACCTTCCCTGAATCAACAAGCGATTCTTCTAATTATAGATAAGGGGTTGTCAGGGCTCTGATAAGCAAGGAGGTGCCACAAAGCCTCACCCGGGGCAATAGTGAGTTTTAGTAGGAGGAATTTGTTTGGATGCATTTAGTTAATTGTGGGCAGTAAAATGAAATGTGTTTACCCGGAGAGGTGCAGCGGTGGTTGGGCTCTTCGGGAGAGAAGCACCAAGAGCTCACAGAGCTGCTCACACTGGGATTTGCCGGTGGGGTATCGCCCGGTGTCCGATGGCAGATGCTGGGACAGAGAAATCTCTTCTCATGCATGAAGGAAATGAGGCATTTTTGATTCTGCTGTTCTGCTTGTGTTTTTGCATGGTGTCTGGGTGGTTATTCTGCTTTTGAAAGCGGTAAGGGGGGTCCATCCATAAAAAAACCACATGGACCCTCTTCTGGCTGGTTGAATTGAGGCCTCAATTTCCTTCTTTTTGATGGAATTGGGTTGCTGATGTCATTGATGATCAAAAAGCAGCTTGAGAAAAGTAGATCTTGGTCAATCTGGAGATTTAAAACTCTGGGAAACTCTCTCCAACATCAAATACCGAGTGAGGACCATTTTGAAGGTGCTTATGAACCTGATTAGAAATTAAATTCAAGCTTGGTTGGAGTTCTTCTGTAGTAGAAGTTAACATTGATCACTTTTGTAACAAGTAAGAGTTAGAGTCCAAATTGAAGGATTAGAAATGTTTTCATACACATTACTTGCTCTCTGCCTCCCTCTTCACCCACTGGGTAGGGAATTGCCAGCTGCCAGAGTTGGCTTCATTGTCCATGAAACAAGCTCTGGTGAAACCCGCGTGAGTACGGTCAGAGTGTTATTTGTGCTTTGTAGTTATTTAATTTTACTGATCTTTGCTGTGGGAGAGAGGATTGTTTCAGTCTATATAAAACCCGACAAGAAAATGGCATCATAACATTTTTCACCAGTATCGAGGGAGGTGACCCTTATCAAGGTGGCACTTTATTTCAGTGCCACTCACCCTTCTTGTGTTTCACGTAACAAATACGCTCGTTTCTGGTGCAGTTGGAAGAAAAGGGATACAACCTCCCTCCTTCTCCCAGGCCTCTGCTTTCTTCTTCAACAGTGCTCTAATTGTGCCGCTGACAGCAGATACTCCTGCTGCTCACCCAAATCTCTCCCGACTCTGGGTTCAAACAGAGAAATTATTTTGCTGCACAGAAAAAGATTTTATTGTGACTGGAAGAAAATATTTGCGAGCACTAGAATATCTTACAGTGGTTTATTGAATTTTCTGAAAAACATGCACAGCTTTGATTCTAACGATGAGCAGTCTTGATAGAGAGTATATATGGGATCTGATTTATTTTTTTTAATTATCTTAATGCACTGAGAGTCCTTCCCAAATCACAAAATGTACTGGAAGCACCACACCACTAGATTATACTTGGTTTCATTCTGAGGGTACAAAGGAAAAGTAAGACGTCAGATATTGTATGAAAAAGTTTCAGAACACAAGGTCATTTTAATTCAGACATTTTTTTCCGAGGAACTATCTTTCCTAAGCTTTGATATTTTGTTCAGAAAGGTCATTTCTTTTAAGCCTTTGTCATTAAAGAAGACTTGTTCTTTAAAGTGTGCTATCAAAGAGTGCAGAAATTGCAAGTTACTGAAACTAAAATGCATGATCAGTTTTAAGTCTGCCAACTAAAGCCCACTTAAAATTAGATGTGCTCTGGTTCTGGTGGCTTCTTTGATAAAGCTGGTGGCAGAAACGCAGTTGGTCAATTCAAGACGAAAAAAGAGAAGATAATTAAATAAAACTTTTCCTTCCTAAATTAGAAATTATTTTTTGTGAGAAAGCACTGGAAGAACTGAATAAGGATCTGATCCTGCAAAAATGTGAGAGTGAGTGTCTGTGCGTGTCCTGCGCTGGGAGCAGTTTGTAACACACTCTTTCATGTTATCTGACATTTGTAATAATGTAAATAAGTCAAGGCTTTGGACAAAATACCATTTATTTACCATTTACTATCACGGGATGATCTCCCCTCCACTGACAGACAAACCTGGTAACGGAAAAGAGTGAAGCCCTTGAGTGGTGGCCTTGCTCTGCAGCCCCTGGTCCTGATCTCTGTGGATCCGGCCTCTCTCCCATCTCCTGGCCACTAAGTGCTGTGCTTGCTTCAAGGCCTCCTTGGGAGAAGAGACCTTTTGTCTCCTGATGGTTCTTCTAACGCTGTTTCTGGCAACAGTGAACTTAATTTTTGTTTTAACCCAGATATATCCAATATTCAAGGTGGTGTTTTTGGAAGAGCCTTGGGAAGCTGGGCACCTTACCTGCACACAAGGAGGAGTTAGAGCTGCGACCTCCTTTGAGCAACTCTCTCAAACAATTTTATCTGCACAGCTGGGTCCCAACAGCCTGTTGTGTCTCACGTGGTGTATAAACATACAGCTGAGTGGGAAGCAGGTTGTGCATTGCGTGTGTCAGCACATGCATCAGACTCAGTACTTCGGATGAAAACAAGGGAATGTGTGTTTGTAAAATGAGCAAAGTAAAGGGACACCTTTATCTCAGCTGGACAGTTAATTATAACACCATACTTCCAGCTTCATAACATCTATTCAACAGATTTATATCTTGAATCTTGTTCTTCTCCCACTTGAAGCCCATTTGATAGCAAAGGTTAATAACAGGGAGATTTGCGCATCATTTCAAAAGAAGGTTGTGGATCCTAATTCTGTGGTTGTCTTATCCCAGCCAAACCAATGCTGGCATTCGCTTTGTCCAGTTTTGCCCAAAGAAAGGCTTCAAGGAATTTATTAACATCCTGGACCTTGAATCCATAAGAAATCTGTCGGTGAAAGTCATCCTGAGCTGAAATTGATGACTCCGTAAGGCCACCCTTGTCTCTTCACTGGGCACCAACGCAGGCGTGCTGAGAACTCTTGGAGGGTGCAGGACCTGTTTAATGAGATTTAACTGACAGTCTGTGCGACCCGAGAGGTAACACCAACCCTGTAAGACACAACTGATGCGGTTGTTGACTGGCTGGTTTCCTTCCTCCTGAACTCCCCCATCAGCCCAGGCACAGACTCAGCCGTAACATGGCCCTGAATCCTGGGATTTTGTCCACAATGGCCTGTGGATCCACACTTGACCACTTGTCTTCCTGAGCAAGCATTTTTAGGAAGGAATTAATCAGAAATCACTTTATCTCTTTAAATTCAGAGCCTACCTAAATCTCAGTAGGTTTTTATGCAGTCAGGCTCTCCTTCTGCATCTCAGGGTGGTGGAAAACCAGACCTAAGAAGGCAAATGACTCCATATGGATTTCATGAACAGTCAGAGCCTGGGTGTTTGTAAGGCTGTGTTTAATTGTGCTCAGGAATGATGTTACGTCTTCTGAGACTTATCGACACTTGCTTGTCATCTTCTTGTTTGTTCATGGCTGTTGGATGAGGTCATTGCCTGACTAATTTCAGTATAGATTTGAATCTAGAATGAAAACTCTGAATGAAAACTCTGATTTTAATCAGCTCTTCCTCCCCTCTCCCTCATCTTCCCTGGGCAGTTGATGAAATGTCCATTGTCCCAGGTTCCTGCTGGAGGGGCTGTGAAGGGATGGGGAACTGACCCTGGGAGGCAGGAGCTGCTACTGGCTGAGCCCATGAAGAGAAGGTGGTCACGGCCTCTGCCCTGAGGAGGTGCTGAACCTCGTGTTTGTGATGCTCAGTTGGATGAAACCTCAGAGTCCCAACTCAGTTGCGTATGTAATTGATGTTCCCAGACCACACAGGATATCTTGAATGCTTTATTTAGCATTTCCATTTGACCTCACCAGCAGCCTGAGAACACCAGCAGCCTGAGAACGCCCCCAGCCCATGAAGTCCCAGTCGGCTGCACCTCCGGGCAAGTGCAGGTGCCATGGTGGCACTGGCAGAGAGCACTGGTGGCACGTG